TTCAGAAATGATTCTCTGCTGCTCCTCCTCTCCTCCACATCTTCACCATCCTCTCTCTCACTCTCCAATCCGACTGAGTCATCTGGGCTCAGAATCCTCTGAAATTTTTTCAGCTCATCCTTCACAAAACTGATGATGCTCTTCTCGAGTTTCTGGAACAGAAATATTAATGCATGTAGCCTGAAGGTTGTTCCAACCAGAATACCTATCACTGATGACGATAAGTGCAGTGGGTGAACATTTACACACAGTGAAGATGGAGTCGAGGTCTTTTTGATTCTGCTGGGCATGCTGAACTCTAGAGAGACACATAAAATATTTATGTTTATTTTAGTTATCATGTGAGTTGCTTAAGGATAACAGGTTCAAAATAAAGCTTTTACAGGACTGTGCAGTCCAGTAAAAACGTAAATAACTCCTCCAACCTTCCACCCCCTCACTGTTTGTCTGATAGATAGTGAAAAGTATCCCACATAAAGCCGGCTGTATTTTGTTGAGAGCAGTTTTACTTTTGCTAAAGAGCTGTGAGAATAAAAATCTAGTTAGTACAAGTATATTAATCCTCCTGCTGTAATGGCTGCACCAATCTTAAAAAAAATTAAGGTACTTTCTCAGATACATCTGCACACTTTCAGCTCCTACCCCAGATCATCAGGCCTCTGTTCATGTTTAAAGTCAACATGTGGACCCTTGGACCGCTCACTCTGCATGGACACACTGCTGGATACAGAAGAGTGCTGCTGCCATTGTCTGATCTTCCTACAATCACAGGAGGATATTTCAGTTACCCAGCACATGGTGTGAACCACAGTGATAAAATACGAATAATACAAAGCACCATGCTAGAGATAATCATAAATGAATAAAAATAATAAGCCATGTTAAAATCCTTGATTAGACCAGCATGTTTAAAATGCAATGCTAAAACTTAATATACCGTATTGTTCCATATTTTTTGGACTATAAGGCGCACTTAAAATCCTTTAATTTTCTCAAAAATCAATAGTGTGCCTTATAATCTGGTGCCCCTTATGTATGAATTCTGGTTGTGCTTTCTGACCTTGAAACTTTGGTAAGCTACGAAGCCACACCGCTTGTCGATGCTCCGATTATCGGAGCATTACGGCTACTGTAGTCAGGAGCCTTGCGCAGTAATCTGTGTCCAAACTCTGCTTCAGGTTCCAAAGTCAAAAGCACACTGCGCCATCACTGAGAGTTAAAAACTAACTCTCTAAATTCTTTCATCTTTAACAAAATTTGCTGCTTTAAAAGGTGTAACAATAAAGTTTAACATCCAGACATCCATGAAAACAGAATTTATTAAATTTAACGGAGTTAGAAGTTAACAGGAACTTAGCTTGCTAGTTTCCACCTAAACATGATATAGCATGTTCTGACTGAGAGATTTCTGAAAAAAAATTAAACACACAGCTCTCCTATCACTTCAGACAGAAATGAAGACAGAAAACTAAACAGCAGTGACTTTTGTAGGGTTACTGAAGTTGGACTAGCCGGTATAGTATATAATGATGTGCTACGTGATTGCTAGCGACACAGCTATGTTAGCATAACTTAAACAGTGAAGCTGAAGGAAGAATGCTAACTTTTTTCTACTCAATAAAAGTTAACGCGAGCATTCCCGATGGTTAGGGGCAAATGCAAACGCATCATAGGACGGTGTAAACGGACCAAACTTCAGTGAGGAGAACAACTAAGAGAATCCATCCACAATACAAGGTTAGTCATTAATATACTGCAACAACATGGGAATAGAGCAGCTGCGAGAGAATTCAACATTAATGAATCAAGGGTACAGAAGTGGAGAAAGCAAGAAGAATGAGTTGAGTAAAGTCTGGCTTACTCAACTCTGACTGGACTGTTTTGTTTCCCTTATTGCGTCTTATAATCCAGTGTGCATTATGTATGAAAACAGACCTGTTCATCGACAGTGCGTCTTATAATCCGGGGCGCTTTATGGTCTGATAGATTTATTAGGATATAAAATTGATAGTTAAAATATGTGCAGTACTCTGTATCAGATAACTCATGCACCTTTGAGTCCTTACCCTTGGTCAGACTTCTGTTCATGTTTAAAGTCAACATGTGGACCCTTGGACCGCTCGCTCTGCATGGACACACTGCTAGATACAGGAGAGCGCTGCTGTTGTCTGACCTTCCTACAATCACAGGGGGAGAGATTTCAGTTAGCAAGCACACTGGGTGAACCCAGTGGCAAAAGACACAAAGTGCTGTGATAGTTGCAGCAAGTATAAAGAATCGAATGGGACTGGACATGTTATAAGTGGTGGGAACAAGTTGGCATTTGCAAATGCAATAATAAAACATAACCTATTCAGTCTTCTTACTGATCAATACATTCATCCTGATCTATATGTTGATAAAAACCTGATTCTAAAATATGTGTAATGTCTGTTTCAGATAAGTCCTGAATCGACCCTGTTGCGCTCTTACCTTGCATCATCAGGGCTCTGTTCATGTTTAAAGTCGACATGTGGACCCTTGGACCGATCGCTCTTCATGGACACACTGCTGAATACAGAAGAGTGTGGTCTCTGCTGTAGGATCTTCCTTTAAATATAGGAACGCATTTATGTTAGACACCATCCTATGTGACTTGTCTTAGTACATGACAGTTAGAATGAGTAAGTAAATCCTCCTGCTAAAAAAACATAAAGCCATGAAATGGTTGGAGCATGCTATAAAGAATTTAAACCGTGTTAAATAAAGTGGATGAAAATGGTATTGCTAAATGCAGTGCTAAAACAGCCATCCATCCATCCATTTTCTGCCCCTCTGAAACTGTAAAAAGCTGCACCTTCAGTTTGTAGTCCTTACCCAAGGTCAGACCTCTGTTCATGTTTAAAGTCGACATGTGGACCCTTGGACCACTCACTCTGCATGGACACGCTGCTGGATACAGGCGAGTGTGGTCTCTGCTGCAGGCTCCTCCTGCAAACACAAGGACTCGTTTATCCTGAATAAGAACTCATTAATAACCTGAAACAGTGATCACATGAAGAAAACTCTGAACGCTTTTGAATTTTTGCTCTTCTAAACTTTTTTCTAAATATTAAGATAATTAAATAAATAATAATCAATATTTCTTTCAACATTGTTAAGAAATCATTTTGTCTAACAAATCTGTTTTAGTTCCTTTGACTTCTTACCTTGGATCAGCAGGGTGATGTCCATCTTTGAAGTTAACATGTTCGCCCTTGGACCAATCGCTCTCCATGGAGACACAACTGGGTACAGGCGAGTCCCGTTTGTGGTGTTTGATCTTCCTATTATATATAATAATTTAACTTGAGTGCTTAACTAGAGATAAGATGATGTGTCATGGGCGGTTGGTCATCTCACCTCTGCAGTTTGGTTCGACTCTCATGTTCCCTGCACTGATCCATAGCAGATCCCAAACCTTCACACAACATCACAGGACACATTTGTTCTGACTGCTGTCAAACAATTACAAAAAGTTTGGATTCGTTTTGATATTCAAAATGTAAACTGGTCTTTGTTAACATAATACCAGTATATCTTGATACCGTAACATAAAACAAACAAAGATAAGAAACACTTTACAGAAAATACCACGTGTTTGATCGTGTTTGTAAAATCAAAATTAGTGCATCTAATAACTGTTTTATTTGATTTCCTTTCATGTTGTTTTATCTTGGCGGTGGGGTTTTAATCACATTGAGCAATAAGGTTATCAGGAACCTTTTTGTGATTTTTATACCTCAGAAAAATAAAACCTTGAACTTTGATTTTGTATGATATGAATTACAGCTGCTGATTGGTGTGATAGCATTCTGTTTGTTGTAAAAACTGTAAATGTCATTACATCAAAGGACATTTATTTATAGGTAAAAAGTTGTGTTGTTTGTTTGTTTCAAATTTCTACATGCCATCTGGTTACTGAAGCTTCCTGTTGTGTCAAGGTCAAATTTGACTTATTAAGGATTATGTAAATGATAGAAACAGAAAAAAAAACAAGTAACAAGTCTCATGTTTTTTTAAATCTGGAGTGAGGTTGATCATAATACTGCCAATAACACTTTTGATAAGTCCCCCCAGTACTCAAGACCAATTAATGAAACTAATGGCTGGAAACAAAATATCTCTCCATCACAGAGGTGGTTGTAATGTGAAGGTCCCCACTCTGAAAAAAACGTTTTCCAAAAATAATCATAAGGGTTGACATTTGGACGTGTTGTAGAAGACAGTTTGAACTGAAAGCTTTTTAAAACAAATGAAATAGACTGATGGGTTGTGATAGCCCAACATAAACCAGTGAAAAGGTAATTTAGTCATCTGAATATCAGTTCTTGCAGACCAGCCTGAACTTCCATTAGCATAACGATTTTCTAACAGAGAGCATCCTGAGATGGTCACATGAATGAAAATGCATGAACAGACAAAAATGCCCATGAACACACCTCTGCAGCAACATACAACAAAATCCTACAAAGACTTGGAAGCTTTTTGGACATACCTGCTGACAGTGAAGAGGCAGGAAGCAGTTTGCGTTACTGTTTGATGGAAGAAATAATCTGTGTGAAATTAATCTTAATCAACCACTTGTAATGTAAAGCAACTAAAAGCAAGGCTAAACAGGAGCTTGCTGGTCTGCAGATTCAATCTAATCTCCACATTCAGTTCTCCACAGTTTTTATTATTTAAGGTCATACAATAACCACATGCCACTGAACTTTGAACCTGCTCTTGTGGAACATTAACAGACAGTAAGACAAGCTTACAGTGGAACTTAGAATTCTTCTGGGCCTTGTCCAGAAGGCAGGTTTTACACAATCTGAGTATGTTTCTTTGTTTTTCTTACAGGTGCAGCAGTTGTCAATACATTGTGCATTTCTATTTGTATTTTATTATATTTTCTCCACCTTTCCCATGCAAAAGCTGACAGACAGGATGAAAAAAAAAAGGACCAGATACATGATCAGAGGAATCGGTACTCAAGATCGGTGGTGCTGTTTATTTCTAACATTACAGCAACATTAGAGTTCTGAAATAATAAACTTGATGTATTTAAAATTGGTTAGTCACTGTATACCCACAGGAAATTGACCATGATCAATTTTCTTATCTATTCAGTTCCCAATGAATCCATCTGTGTAAAACAGACTTAGTGGTGTTAGAGGCAAGCATAAAAACTAGCGTAATCAAGCATAAAAACAGCATTAATCTTGTTAACGACGTTAACGCCATAACTGCATTAATGTGGCAAATCTCTGTTAACAAGTTACCGCGGATCGTCCCATTCATGGGGCTGACCGGCGTCAACACGTTAGCGCGTTGATTAACGCTGACAGCACTAATAAAAACATTAGTGCATTTTCTACATCACCAAAATCGATGTACGCCCCTCTGATCAGAGTTAGCTCTGTGAGCTCTGAGTATGTTCACCCTGAGTTAAATGACCTTGTGGGTAATGAAAAGAGCCAAAGTAGTTATAGTAGGTCAGATACCGTGACTCATCATAAAGAGCAGAGCCTCCACTTTGATTCAGTGGATCAAAGAAGATGAATCCATGTGGGTGTGCACGATGATCAGCTTCAAGACTGCAATCATCATTCCAGAAGATGGGTTGAGCCTGTGTGGGTGTAATTAACACATAATTGCTCCAGAAAACAAAACAAAGGTCCCTTTGTTGCCTAATCTCTGGTTTATCAGCCTGGGCGCTACAGTTCACAGCAGTGATGGCCCGCTTGAAGCCGACACTCTGGCAGGTGTGTCAAAAGAAACCAACACACTGCTTCAGAAGCACTGTGTCGAGACTTGATTCTTTTGGCCAGAGTCACATGATCAATGACGTCTGAAGCTTCATTTAACTGCTTCAGTATCTGAGTCAGTGGTTTATAGGAAAGTGATTAGTCATTCGCAGGACTTGTGGAGTGTTTTGATGGTGAGAAATAGCAAACCACTGATCATTCTAATGAGTGAAATGGAGCCAGCGAGGAAGAGAGGAGGTTCTGTCATGTGGGAGTAATTTGAGTTGATTTTGGTCAATCAGGTGGGTTTGCCAGCTTTCTGTTCTTGTTGCTTGCCTTTGTTTTGGGTGTATTTATTTTATCTGAAATTTGAAAAACTTAAAATGTCTTAACAAAACATCTGCTTTTCATAATATACATATCATTAAAGAATTTCATTGTTAAAATAATCTTAAAATGTTATTCTACAAAATGTGCAGCAATTTACTTTGTTTACTCTTTTTCGGTGATAGTTTGTGGGACCCAGGAAGATCATATACCTGCATCCCCACCAACTTGCATTGCAGTTTCTATGCAATGCAACCTTTTCTGTTTCGTGTGAGAGGATTTTCTCTAAGCAGGAGAAATTATCTCCAAGCAAACAAAGAGACTCGGCCATCGCACAGTGGAACAAATTCTCTTCTTAAATAAAAACCAAATAGGATAACCTTAAATGCATCATGTTTTTACTTTACAAGTTCACACCCTGTTAAGGCCATCTTCTCTTTCTAACATGTTTCACTTTTCACCACTTTTACTTCACTCGCTGGTCAGCTTTAGGCTCTAAATCCACTTGGTTACATTTCTGAAAAGATGTCCCCTTGTAAACATGGACAGTAAAAAACCTACAAGTGGTGTGTGTCCTGTCTCAGTGATGAGATTAAAGGTACACTAAGAACACAGAGAAAGTAAAGATTCAGATGACCAGAACCCAAATCCAAACCCAACATACAGAGATTCAGTCAATGTGATGTTAAAGGTGTGGAGGTGGATCAGAGTGTCAGAGGAGACTCTGTAGAAGGACAGAGTGCCAGCAGGACAGTCCACATACACTGCTACTCTGTCAGAGACCGAGGATGAAGAGGAGTGGGAGGAGATGAATGTTTCTCTGTTATTGTGCCACACCGAGTAACCACCATCAGAGCAGCTCAGACTCCAGGACTGATCATTTCCTCCAAACCAACACTCATCACTCTTTTTTTTCCTTTGGATTCTTCTGTAACTCACTGCTATATAAACTTCTCCTTCCCACTCCAACTCCCAGTAACAGCGGCCAGTCAGACCATTTCTACACAGCAGCTGAGGCCAGCAGTCAAATCTGTCTGGATGATCAGGATATGGATGGTCCTGTTTCACACGTGTCACCTTCCTGTTGCTGTCAGATAGTCTGAGGTTTCTGTTCACTGTGTTGGTGTCCACTGTGAGTTCACATGAATCTGGTAAGAAAAAGATGGAGCTGCAGTTGATAATCTGACATATTTGATGCTTTATTCTTTCTTTACTTGCTGATATGTTGCTCAGTCATAGAAAGTTTAATGATGATACTTTCTGAATGAATATATACAGGACTGTATATAAAAGATGCCTGTAGCCACTGTGAAGCTGTAGTTTTGAAGGTTTGACATAAACATTTAGTTATCATTTCTGAGACTTACACTTCAGTAGTCCAGGTTTTAGCCACTGCTCTCCACAATGGTCCACTCTGGAGGGAGAAAAACATAATGAGTTTTATCTATAATGTGTACATACTGCTATTCAACATGAAGCACCAATTCCTGATTGATATAGAAACATGCTGAAACACAGCCAGTTTTAAATATATTCTCTTCTCAGCAGTTTCAGTTTCAGTTTTATTTGTCATATGCAAGTTAGCACAGGGTCAACATTGCAATGAAATGTGTATGACGAGCAGCAGTCACTCAGCAGCATGATACAGTAGGAGAAAATAAAATAAAATAAAATAATAAAGAAAATAGAAAAATAGTAAGGAGCAAAATATTAGAGACACATGGTAAAAGAGAAAAGATGACTAAATATATATGTATCTATAAATATAAATATATGTACACTAGTGATTAAATAAGAAAATCTTGAAAAGAAATATGACGGGAGGGCAGATGGGATATTGCACAGGAATGAGCAGCAGAAAATTACAGTATTGCACTTTTAAATATAAATATCAATGACAATAAAGTGGAATGACCAGTGCAGATTAAACAGAGTACTTGTGAAGCTGCAGGGTCATGAGACTGCTATGGGTCATGCTTTCATGAAGCTAAAAAAGGGTAAAAGTGTATTCTTAAAAACCTGTGTGTGTTTGTCAGTCCCATTCAGAACTGAAAGCTAAAGAAGCTAACAAGCTAAAGAAGAGCCCAGCCACACCTTGGAGGAAACTCATGTCCACCGTTAGTATCTGCAGTCTCATTCTTTCAGTCGCGACCTGGATCTGGTAGCCATAGGGGTGGATGCAAACACAGATTGGCCGGTAAATTGATACCTTTGCTTTCATGCCCTGCTGTGTCTTCAAAACAGAGCAGAACAGAGTCTCCTCTCCAGTACTCTCGGACAGACCTTCTTAGTGAGGCTGAGTAGTGGGATACCTCTATAATTGGAACACTGCTTTCAGTTCCCCTTCTTAAAGACAGGAACCATCACCTGACCCTGCCAACCCCGATGATCTACCCCAGACAAACAACATTACAGAGACGTGTCAACCATGACAGCCCCACCACATCCAGAACCTTAAGAAACTTAAGGGGAAATCTCATCCACCAAAAATTCCCTGCCACCAAGGACTTATTTAAGACCATTAGTGAACTCAGCCTAGTGATGCCTAAGTTGTCCCCTTTAATTCCTAGACACTGCTTTCTCTAAGGATGGATATTGGAAGAATTGAGGAGGTGCCTAAGGTATTGGATTCACTGGCTGACTATATCCTCAACTGAAGTCAGAAACAACCAATGATGAGAATAACAGCATTATAAGTAACAGCGTTACTTTTTTCAGTAATGAGAAATCTAACTAATTACTATTTTTATCGTTACAAGACCGTTACCGTTACTAACAAGAAAATGCAGTGCGGTCGCATTACTATTTTTCAACAAACAGATGGTTGAAGCTGCCTTCAGCTTACCGCACTTTATATCAGTTGAACCGAAGTAGCTGTCTACGTAAGTAATCTGGGCACTGCCGCTTTAGGTAACTTCTACTTACTCAAAGTTACTAGTAACTTTGAGTAACTAGAAGTTGACTGAAGGTTTGCCAGAAATGCTTGAGAAGAATCTCAGTCTAAAGGTGAGTTTTTGCACAGCTACTGTAAGAATACAGTCTTCTTGGGCTGCAGTACTTGTAAGTTGTCTCAGGAGTCCAGCAGGCTAACTAAGGACTTTTTCAGTTTGATGGCTCTGGTCACTTTTAGTGTCCACCATCTGATTTTGAAATTAATATTATGACACATGCCAACCACCATGAGGCCACAGCTTTATACAGACTCCTCAGCCAAGGAGTTCTATGACATCGTCCTTTTGGACTTAGTATCCCCTGTTTGTCTTACGGAAGGCTTTCAAAGCTCTGTCAAAGGTGAGAATTTAAGGTTTTGCAGACCAGGGCCTCAGACATTACCAGTGCACCAATAGGACCATAGAGTTCCCTGATAGGGCATCCTCTAGCACCCACACTGTTGTTCGGTATATAAGCACAAACAACAGTCAGGACTTGTTCCATGACTCCTCTGGGGTCTGCACATTTCTTTACATAGAATCACTTTCCCATAAACAGAAAAAAGGAAAAAGCAAAAAGGCTAAAAAAAAAAAACCCAAGTTAGATAAACCAACGCCATGTGAACTCTTGTTCATACCTTAGATTGTCCAGTCTCCACTGAGTATTCTTCACTCCCTTAGAAAGCTCCTCCACATGAGAGTCTCCTGGATGATTGTAGCTCAAATCAAGATTTCTCAGATGGGAGGGGTTAGACCTCAAAGCCAAGACCAAAGATTCACCTCCATCTTTTGTGATCAGACAACCCGAGAGACTAAAGTTTTGAAAGAAGAAAAAAGTCCAGGATGAGCATGCATAAATAATAATACTGCAATACTTGCTCTTGGGGACTTTAACAAAGCCAATCTGAGCCATGAGCTTCCGAAATATAAGCAGTATATTAAATGCCCGACCAGAGAGGAGAGGACATTAGACCACTGCTACAGCACGATCAGCGGGGCCTATCGCGCGGTGCCCCGCGCTTCACTCGGACTTTCTGACCACATCATGATCCACCTAATCCCCGCGTACAGACAGATGCTGAAGCTCTCCAAACCTGTCGTGAGGACTAAAAAACTGTGGAGCAACGAGGCTGTGGAGGAGCTTCGCACGTGTTTGGAGACCACAGACTGGGACACATTGAAGGCTGCTTCTAACAGCTTGGACGAGTTTACGGACACTGTCACCTCCTATATCCACTTCTGTGAGGACAGCATTGTGCCATCACGCACCAGGGTGAGTTATAACAATGACAAACCCTGGTTTACTCCTAAACTCAAAAAGCTGTGGCTGGAAAAGAGAAAGGCGTTCAGAAGCGGAGACAGGGACTGCTACAGAGAGGCCAAGTACAGGTTCACTAAAGAAGTGGACATTGCTAAACATCAGCACTCTGAGAAGATGCAGCAGCAGATCTCAGAGAATGATTCGGCCTCTGTGTGGAAAGGTTTTAGGAATATCACAAACTACAAGCCTAAAACCCCCCACTCCACTGATGACTTGCTCTTAGCCAACACCCTTAACGACTTTTACTGCCGTTTTGACGAGCCATCAGGCAGCCTTCACACCTCCAACGGCCCCAACAATAGAGGCACTTTGGACACAAATTCCCCCACCTCTCCCCCCTCCATAGAGCCATCACCACCTTCAAACTGTTCACCTACAACACCCCCCTCCTCACCCCACACAAAAGAGGATTTCACACCACCTCCTCCCACCACAACTCTTCATATTCATGAAGCAGATGTGAGGAAGCAGTTTAAGAATTTGAATGCTCGGAAAGCTCCCGGCCCAGACGGCGTGTCTCCTGCCACCCTCAGACACTGTGCAAACAAGCTGGCCCCAGTGTTTTCTGGCATTTTCAACTCCTCACTGCAGGCATGTCATGTGCCTGCCTGCTTCAATTCCTCTACCATAATTCTGTCCCCAAGAAACCTAGGATCACTGGACTAAATGACTACAGACCCGTGGCTCTGACATCTGTGGTCATGAAGTCATTTGAGCGCCTAGTTCTCTCCCATCTCAAGACCCTCACGGCCCCCCTCCTGAACCCCCGGCAGTTTGCATATAGAGCCAACAGGTCTGTAGACGACGCCATCAACATGGCCCTACACTTCATCCTGCAGCATCTGGACTCCCCAGGAACCTACGCCAGGATCCTGTTTGTGGACTTCAGCTCTGCCTTCAACACCATCCTTCCAGACCATCTCCGAGGCAAGCTTTCCCAGATGAATGTGCCTGATCCCATCTGTCGGTGGATCACTGACTTCCTGACGGACAGGAAGCAGCATGTGAGGCTGAGAAAGAATGTCTCGGACTCCCAGACCATCAGCACCGGCTCCCCTCAGGGCTGTGTTCTTTCTCCTCTGCTCTTCTCCCTGTACACCAACTGCTGCACCTCCACCCACCAGTCTGTCAAGCTAATCAAGTTTGCAGATGACACCACCGTTATTGGGCTCATCTCGGACGGGGATGAGTCTGCCTACAGGAGGGAGGTTGAACGTCTGGTGTCCTGATGCAGCCACAACAACCTGGTGCTGAATGCCCAGAAGACAGTGGAGATTATTGTGGACTTCAGGAAGCACACAGCCCCACTCCCCCCCATCATCCTGACTAACACCCCCATCACCTCTGTGGACTCATTCCGCTTCCTGGGTACCACCATCACCCAGGACCTGAAGTGGGAGCCCACCATCACCTCCGTCATCAAGAAGGCCCAACAGAGGATGTACTTCCTGAGGCAGCTGAAGAAATTCAACCTGCCAACACGGACGATGATGCAGTTCTACACTGCAATCATCGAGTCCATCCTCACCTCCTCCATCACCGTGTGGTACGCTGGAGCCACTATCAGGGACAAACAGAGACTGCAGCGTGTTGTGCGCTCTGCTGAGAAGGTGATTGGCTGCAGACTCCCATCTCTGCAGGACCTGTACACCTCCAGGACATTGCGGCGTGCAACTCGGATCTCAGCTGACCCTTCTCACCCTGGACACAGTCTGTTTGACCTGCTCCCCTCAGGCAGGAGGCTCCGGTCCATCCGCACCAGAACCTCTCGCCATAAGAACAGTTTCTTCCCCTCTGCTGTTGGACACATGAACAATAACCATATGACTGTCCCCGCCACTAACACATGACCCTACGCTGTGTCACTGCATCATTCCATGTTTGGCACTGATCACCACCTGCACGCATATCTTTCTACGTAGCACTCTTAATTCTTATTCTCATGTATATATCTCATGTATATCTCATGCACATATCTTTCTACGTAGCACTTTCTTATTCTACTTTTATTTTTTCATGTCTATTTAAGTGCTATTTATGACACTATGTTTGCACTGAAGCACCGCAGCAATTTCCTAATGTTGTAAACCTGCTCAACATTTGGCAATAAACCCCTTTCTGATTCTGATTCTGATTCTGCAATTTAAAATAACACGTAAATCTCTCTCTCTCTCTCTCTCCCTCTCTCTCTCTCTCTCACACACACACACACACACACACACACACACACACACACACACTGAATCATAACACCTCGCTGTCCTGTTCACTGGTACCATCCTGTTTCAAAGCAGCAACCATCGTTCCCATCCCAAAACAGTCAAATGTCACATGTCTGAACGATTTCAGACCTGTGACACTCACCCCCATTCCCGCCAAATGCCTGGAGAGACTGGTCATTAAACACATCAGAGCTGCTTTTCCACCATCCCTGGACTCGCACCAGTTTGCATACAGGGAGAACCGGTCAACCGAGGATGCGATCGCCACAGTGCTGCACACATTACTGAAGCACTTGGAACACAGGAACACCTATGCACGGCTCCTCTTTGTAGACTACAGCTCGGCTTTTAATACCATCCGGCCATACAAACTCCGTCCCAAACTCCACCAACTGGGACTTAACTCCTCTCTGTGCAACTGGATTGTGGACTTCCTCACTAACCGTAGACAGAGTGTCAGAGTGGGTAAGAACACCTCTTCCACCCTTGTGGTCAACACCGGTGCCCCTCAGGGGTGTGTTCTGAGCCCTCTGTTATACACTCTCTTCACCCATGACTGTATTTCCTCCTGCGCGTCCAATCTCATTGTTAAGTTTGCAGATGACACCACAGTGCTCGGACTTATATCCAACAATGATGAGACAAACTATAGGACAGAGGTGCAACAACTAGAGTCATGGTGCCACAACAATAACTTGGTCTTAAACACCAAAAAGACCAAGGAGATCATTGTAGATTTCCGGAAGAGGGGTCATAACAACCATCTGCCTCTCTTCATTGGCAGTGAGGCGGTGGAGAGGGTGAGCAGTTTTAAATTCTTGGGGGTAACTGTGACCGAGGACCTGTCCTGGGGTAACCATATCACCTCAGTTGTACGGAAGGCCCAACAGCGCCTCTACTACCTGAGGAGACTGCGGAGCGCACACATTCCCAGATCTCTGATGTTGAACTTCTACAACTGTGCCATCAGCAGCGTTCTGACGTATGGATTTCTAGTGTGGTTCCCCAGCTGCACCAAGGCCGATCAGCAAGCACTCCAGCGGGTGGTGAAAGAAGCTGGCAGAATTATTGGAACAAGTCTGCCAGAGATCAGTAATATCTTCCCCACTCGCTGTCTGAGGAGGGTGCACAGTATCCTGCGGGACCAACATCACCCTGCGCGCCACCTTTTCCATCTGCTGCCCTCAGGGAGAAGGTACAGGTCTATACAGCCAGAACATCCAGACTGGCCAACAGCCTGTATCCACAGGCTGTGAGGCTCCTGAACTCTCTGCCCCCCTCTCACGGACAATAACCATATCCAACTTCTTAATAGCAATGAACTGGTCTGCATTGGTGCATCATATCTTTATTCTCTTCCCCCTCCTGCCCCCCCCCCCCTCTTTCTTAAATAGATAACTATCATATCTGATATCATATCTCACAGTACAATAATATTGAATGGGTTGCATTGTTGTATTTTGTCATGTTTCTCAGGTCTTTGTCTGAATTTCTACGAACATTATTGCTAAGGATTGTCTTATTGCATTGGAGTCACACTGGGTTAAATATGTACACTTGGGTTTTAAGGGGTATTTATTATTTTCTTCTTTTTTTTTTTTTTGGGTTGTATGGAAGCCCCAAACGCAATTTCATTGTTCTTGACAATGACAATAAATAAATAAATACTAAATACTACCTTAGAGTTTCAAGTTTACAGTGTACACTTTTTAGTCCACCAGACAGCAGCTTCACGCCAGAATCTTGCAGGTCATTGTTACTCAGGTCCAGCTCTCTCAAACTAGAAGACTCGGAGCTGAGAACTGATGAAAGAGCTTTGCAGCTTCTCCACGACAAGTTACAACAGCTCAGCCTGAGAGAAAGAATTATTAATGAAGATAACAATCAAGAATGTAAAAACATTTATAATGGTTCATAAATCGACTTACAGAGCTTTCTTGGAGGCTTTGACCACTGGCAGAAGCCTCAGAAGAGCATCCTCAGAAGCAGAGTATTTCTTCAGTTCAAATGAATCAAGATCTTCCTTTGATGACAATAAGATGAAGACCAGAGCTGACCACTGAGCAGGAGACAGTTTATCTGTAGAGAGACTTCCCGAAGTCAGAGACTGTTGGATCTCCTCCACTAGAGAACGATCATTCAGTTCATTCAGACAGTGAAACAGATTGATGCTTTTCTCTGCAGACTGATTATCACTGATCTTCTTCTTGATGTACTGGACTGTTTCCACATCAGTATTTGAACTACTTCCTGTCTGTGTCAGTAGACCTTTTAGGAGAGTCTGATTAGACTGCAGTGAAAGCCCAAGGAGGAAGCGGAGGAACAAGTCCAGATGACCATTTGAACTCTCTAAGGCCTTGTCCACGGCACTCTGGTGGAGATGTTTTAAAGAATACTGATCTTTTTTTTGCCGTTTCTCCAGCAGGTTGACTTCAGAGTTGATGAAGGTCAGATGGACATGAAGAGCAGCCATAAACTCCTGAATACTCAGATGGATGAAGCAGAACACCTTGTTCTGGTACAGTCCTCTCTCCTCTTTAAAGATCTGTGTGAACACTCCTGAGTACACTGAGGCATCCTTGATAATTACTTCAAAATCTGTCAGGTCTGATTCATAGAAGATCAGGTTTCCTTTCTGCAGCTGATCAAAAGCCAGTTTTCCCAGACACTCGATCATCTTCCTGCTCTCTGGACTCCAGTGCTGATCGGTTTCAGTTCCCTCATCATACTTGACCTTCTTCATTTTGGCCTGAACCACCAGGAAGTGAATGTACATCTCAGTCAGGGTCTTGGGCAGCTGTCCCCCCTCTCTAGTTTTCAGCACATCTTCCAGAACTGTAGCAGTGATCCAGCAGAAGACTGGGATGTGGCACATGATGTGGAGGCTTCGTGATTTCTTGATGTGGGAGATAATCCTGTTGGTCTGCTCCTTTTCTTTGAATCTCTTTCTGAAGTACTCCTCCTTCTGTGGGTCAGTGAACCCTCTTACCTCTGTCACCCTGTGAACACACTGGGAAAGAATCTGATTGGCTGCTGCAGGTCTTGTGGTTATCCAGAGGCGAGCAGAAGGAAGCAGCTTTCCCCTGATGAGATTTGTCAGTAGCACATCCACTGAGGTGGACTTTCTAGGGTCAGTGATGATTTTAGTTTTGTGGAAGTCCAGAGGAAGTCGACACTCATCCAGACCATCAAAGATGAACACAACCTGGAAGTCTTCAAAGCTCCAGATTCCTGCTTCTTTGGTTTCAGTAAAGAAGTAATGAACAAGTTCCACCAAGCTGAACTTTTTCTCTTTCAGCACATTCAGCTCTCTGAAAGTGAATGGAAACATGAACTGGATGTCCTGGTTGGCTTTGTCTTCAGCCCAGTCCAGAGTGAACTTCTGTGTTAGGACTGTTTTCCCAATGCCAGCCACTCCCTTTGTCAGCACTGTTCTGATTGGCTTGTCTTTAACAGGTGAGGCTTTAAAGATGTCTTCTTGTCTGATTGCAGTTTCTGGTCTGTTCAATTTCCTGGATACGGTTTCAATCTGTCTGATCTCATGTTCATCATTGACCCCTGCAGTCCCTCCCTCTGTGATGTAGAGCTCTGTGTAGATCTGATTCAGAAGGGTTGAGCTTCCAGCTTTAGCAATCCCCTCAAACACACACTTGAACTTCTTTTTCAGATTAGACTTCAGGTTTTTTTGGAACTTTGCAGCACGAGTTCCTAAATTAATAATTAAAAAACAAACAAACATTAGAATTGATTAGAATATTTGCCGTGGTGTTTCCTTTATTTAAGAACTGACAGGATTACCTTGGATTCCCTCAGCTCTCTGTAATTCACCTACCCTCTGCCTATCACCTACACTGAACAAAAATATAAACGCAACACCTTTGTTACTGCTCCCATTCCCCATGGGATGGACGTAGAGACCTAAAATTCATTCCAGATACACAATATAACCATCCCTCCCAAACAGTGGTCACAAATCAGTCCAAATGTGTGGTAGTGGGCACATCTGCTATATTGAGATAATCCATCCCACCTCACAGGTGTGCCACATCAGGATGCTGATCTGACATCATGAGTAGTGCACAGGTGTACCTCAGACTGCCCACAACAAAAGGCCACCCTGGAATGTGCAGTTTTGTCTCACAGCAAAATGCCACAGATGCCACAAGCAATGAGGGAGCGTGCAATTGCCATGCTGACAGCAGGAATGTCAACCAGATCTGTCGCCCGTGCATTGAATGTTCATTTCTCAACCATAAGCCGTCTCCACAGGCGTTTCAGAGAATATGGCAGCACATCCAACCGGCCTCACAACCGCAGACCTCGTGTAACCACACCAGCCCAGGACCTCCACATCCAGCAGGTTCACCTCCAAGATCGTCTGAGACCAGCCACCCAGACAGCTGCTGGAACAATTGGTTTGCACAACCAAACAATTTCTGCACAAACTGTCAGAAACCGTCTCAGGGACGCTCAACTGCATGCCCGTCGTCCTCATCGGGGTCTTGACCTGACTCCAGCTCATCGCCGTAACAGACTTGTGTGGGCAAATGCTCACATTCGATGGCGTCTGGCACGTTGGAGAGGTGTGCGCTTCACGGATGAATCATGGTTCACATTGTTCAGGGCAGATGGCAGCTGAGAATGTCCCAGTTCTTGCATGGCCAGCATACTCACCGGATATGTCACTCATTGAGCATGTTCGGGATGTGCTTGACCAGCGTATACGACAGCGTGTACCAGTTCCCACGAATATCCAACAACCTCGCACAGCCATTGAAGTGGAGTGGACCAACATTCCACAGGCCACAATTGACAATCTGATAGACTCCATGCGACGATGTGTTGCACTGCATGAGGCAAATGGTGGTCACACCAGATACTGACCGGTTCTGGGTCCCCAGACCCCCAATAGCGCAAAAAACTGCACATTCCAGGGTGGCCTTTTGTTGCGGGCAGTCTGAGGTACACCTGTGCACTACTCATGATGTCAGATCAGCATCCTGATGTGGCACACCTGTGAGGTGGGATGGATTATCTCAATATAGCAGATGTGCCCACTACCACACATTTGGACTGATTTGTGACCACTGTTTGGGAGGGATGGTTATATTGTGTATCTGGAATGAATTTTAGGTCTCTACGTCCATCCCATGGGGAATGGGAGCAAAAACAAAAGTGTTGCGTTTATATTTTTGTTCAGTGTACTTTAGCCATTGATTTATGGGCTTTCCTGATGTAATCAACCATCTATAATGTAGTATGTCTGACCACAAAAGTTATAGATAAACAAATAGAAACATAAAAACAAAAGATGCATAAATGTTTATGTCTCTGTCATGCACCAGGGTGTTGTGTTAATCATGGTGCACATCATTTATGTTTCGATAAAGAAAAATTTATAGATCCAACAGAGTGTTTCTCAGACTGTGGGGCATAGAACAGCTGGGGTTGTAGACAAACTTGAGGAAATGCTGTGCATGTGTTCAAATCCTCTTACTGCTCTGCAGACACTCAGCCAGCTTCTCCTGCTTCATTTTCCTAAGGAATTGCAGCGTGATCTTCAAAAATGACTCTCTACTGCTCCTCCTCTGTTCTTCATCCTCAGCCTTCAGCACCTCCTCATCCTCCCTCTGACACTCTAACCATTCTGGATAGTCTGAAAGCACGACCTTCCTCATCTTCTTCAGCTCATTCTTTAAAAAACTGAACATGTTGTCCTCCAGCGTCTGGAAAAGGGATACATTTAGAACTTTAAACTTATTTTCAGTCATTTTCAGTTTCATCTATTAAGGTTTTGACAGAATTAGGACCATATATTCCACATTATAACCTTCATAATGTTTTTAACTAAATGAATCTAGTAATTCTCTCACTGAGTCTCATGTTTAAGGAGAGATGGAAACTAAATTACTTTTTCCTCATTGATGTGATATTAAACTGTTGACTCTTGAATCTTCTCACCATAAATATGGAGTCCAGATCAGACTGACCACTGAGAGTCTCTGAGCTCTGCAAAACACTGCAAAAACGCTCAACGTTAGCATATGTGCAGTTTGTTAAAGGTGTTGCTCTCTGTAATGATGAGTCTTGGTATGAACACAAAGTGATCACTAATGCAAGTGCTGGTCTTGCTGTTGGACATGACGTTTTTAAAGAAGAAACACAATCAACAGTTTCAGTTCTCACCCTGTATCAAAAGACCGCTCTCTGTTTGAAAAGGTTATTGGTTGAATCATAGATCGGTCACTCTTCATTGACACACAGCTCAGTGAAGTAGACAACGGTGTCTCCTTATTGATTCTGAAATGAGAAAATAAAGAATATCACACGTGTGTTATTTAAGGTATTCACAGCAAACGTTGGTATTCTAATGAAACAGATAAGATTGCATGTGTACAGGTCTGTTAAGAATTAAAAATAATTCACTCGACTCTCGTTAGCACAAAATCTTTGGTTCTCCGAGACTATTTGTTTTATAGAATGATTTTAAAACTTTATCGATTAAGCTGTTCATAGCTACAAACTATGATTCGGAGTGGGGTTTGATATTTGGGGGAACCTTAAGGTTCAGTACCTAAGAATAGGTCCCCAACTGATTTCCACTGTAAGCTCAAATAGATTTTACTCCCGTCTTCCTCAGATGGCCATCCCTCCCTGAGCCTGATTCTGCTAGAGGTTTCTTCCTTTTCAAAGGGAGTTTTTCCATCCCACTGTCACCAAGTGCTTGCTCATTGGGGCTCCCTTAATACTGGTGTTTTTTTCTGTGTTGTAGAATTTTTACCTCATATCTTGTTGTGTGTGTTTGGCACTGAATTGAACTGGAAAAGCTCCTTTGTATTGGAGGTGCAGAACATGGTCCACTCAGTCAGAAAATTGGAATAGTACTGAATTTCTGCCAGAGGTGGGAACTGAACATCCCTGTGCACTCTGTATGTTTGGCTATACCAGCTCTGTCCAGGATCCTACCCCACCACCTAATCCAGCTCAGGTGACAGCCGTTTCTCTCCTCACCTGAGTATTTAACTTATGTGGCTGCAGGAATGATCATTTAATTATTTTTCATATCAGGAAGTCCGTTCCTCCCAATCACCCCTTTAGGTCTTTGTCACATGTCTCCTCATTTTGTTAAATAACTTGTTCACCTTTGGCCTTCCATGCCAGTGTTCTTCATGTTTCTTTTACACACAGAGCAATTTTCAGTTCTCCGTACAAAAGGTCTTTGGGATGTGTCCATAATCCGTTCTTATGGCATGGCCAACTCAGCACATTCGTCTTTGTTTGAGGATGGTGTAGATGGCTGGTAGTCCTGTTGTTGCAAGTATCTCTGTGTTGGTGACCTTGTCTTTCCATGGTATGCCAAACATAGAACTTTGGTCTTTCCTTCAAACTAAGCAGATTCCTTCAGTGCTGTCTTTAAACACATGATTTAAAAGTAAGGAAAAGAAAAATGTTGAAAAATGTTGGGACATGCACACATCCTTCTTTGACACCAAGGCAAGGGGGTTGGACAAGGGTCTGTCAATAAATGCTATAAGTAAACTGTTACTCTGCATTTGTCTTGACGTTGTCACAATGAGAAAATCATATCAGCTGATCTTTTTGGTGTGAAGCTGCACTGGGAGTCTGGATAAACTCTGGCAGCCAGTTTTTTGCAGTTTTTCTGGTGCAATGCACAAAAACAACTTTCCAACAATACTCAACAACAAAATTCCGCAAAAGTGTCTGCTTCTGTCTCCTGTTTGGTTGATGGTACCGTCTGTCATATGTTATGGAACAGCTGCTTCTTTCCAACATTAACAGAGTGAAGAGGGTCTAAAAGGGTTTGTGCATCAATCACATGTAACATCAAGACAACCTTGTCTTATTATCACAGGGTTTAAACTCTAGAATGATTTGCAGACTCACTAAATCACTCGCTCTGTTTAAATCTCTTGTTAAAATTCGTGGAGCCTCATTGAGCCTCTGAATAACTGTAATGATTTTCTTTAACGTGTTATTTATTGTCATCACAGAACAAAAATCAATTAAAATTTTGTAAGTGAAGAATGTCTTCATCTTTGAATATAATGGGTTGAATCATAGATCGATTACTCTTGAAGGACACACCGGTGGATGAAGGAGGGGCTTGTGTTTTCTGATAGAAACTGATAGAAAAAAAACAGGGACTACATAGTGAGCACAGTAGCACAGTGAGTTTGGATTCAAAGCATCTGCAACAATTTCCAGTAACCAACTGAAAAACACAAAAAAAAACCCAAAACTGTAGAACCAAAATTTATAGCAACCAATCCATTGTGTATTTTCTACCTGGTGTGTAAGTAGATGACACGGTAAAAAACAGATTGTGCTGTTTTGTGAGACTAAACACAGGAACACAGCAGCAGAAATAAGTTTGTGTACTGGCAGCAATTTGATGTTTGTCTCTCTCAAGTTTTAAAACTCTGACTTATTTTTGTTTTTTTAACTGAGGTTGTTGCATTAAGAAAAGGTGATGACCACACAATGTAGTGACTGCAGAGAGTTCACATGTCAGAGAGTTAAACAGTTGGTTCGTTTGATTTCTGTGTCTCTGACCAGGACCTGGAGAAGGGTCCTGACAGCTAGAGACAGTCCTCTCACCTCTGAGCTTTGGTCTTGCTGTCATGTTCCCCACACAGAGTGGATTTAGAGGGAGGGACTCCCTCCTCTCTGTGCTCACACTGATCCATAGCAGAAGCCACACCTTTACACAGACACAGCAACATTAATATCACAACATATATTAGTTCACACACACACACACACACACACACACACACACACACACACACACACACACACACACACACACACACGGATTTAAACATCTATAATATTTTGTCTGAAAACAGAATCCAAACATCTTCTCCTGTGTGCCTTCAGTCGGTCTTCAGCAGTATTGGGGAGTAACGGAATTCATGTACCGCCGTTACGTATTTAAAATACAAAATATGAGTAACTGTATTCCGTTACATTACAGTTTAAAAAGGTGGTATTCAGAATACAGTTACTTTGTTGAAATAAAGGGATTACACGGCGGTCAGGAACAGGAAAAGATCTTTTCCTGTTTCATATGTTAGGCTATGCCCTCTCTATTTATGGTAATTCCACGCCGGTGGAAACCCAAACAAAACACGCATTAAGAGGCTCAAATGGCTGTGTCTCAATCTAGCGTCTCATAATGACGTGAAGAAATATTTTTATTTATTTAATATGAAGGCAATAGACAGAGTGTTACAGGCATTGCCCTAGCCCAGGGGTGGGCAATCTCAGTCCACGAGGGCCGGTGTCCCTGCAGGTTTTAGATGTGTCCTCGAACCAACCCAGCTGATTTAAATGGCTAAATTAGCTCCTCAACATGTCCTGAAGTTCTCCAGAGGCCTGGTGACGAACTAATCATGTGATTCAGGTGTGTTAACCCAAGGTGAGATCTAAAACCTGCAGGGACACCGGCCCTCATGGCCTGAGATTGCCCACCCCTGCCCTAGCCTCATGGGCAGTGTAGTCCGTGCTGCAGGGAGAATGGACTGCAATACCCGCTGTGTGTCTGTGAGCGAGGGAGGGAGAAAAAGGAGAGTCGAAAAGCACGAGTTGTCACCGAGCAGAAACGGGAGCTGGAAGCATGTAAATATAATAATAACCACTGCAGCCAAAAAGAGTGCCTGACGAGCCCAGTTGTAAGTAAGCTATTAAGACTCGGCTCTACACTTTTTTCGTGTTTTCCTCAGAAACAATGAGTTCAGTTGGAGCAGCCTTTCAACCCCTCTCTCTGTCTCTCGCTACCAAAGTTGACACAGACAACAAAGTAAAGCAAGTTTTCGGTTACGAGCCCTACATGGAACCAGACGTATTAGCCAGAGGTCCCTTTACTACGCTTCGGAGCCGCGGACCTGTTTTATATACACGCGGAATAGTTTTCTATACAACCTTACCTAATGTCCACCCTACTGTTACTCATTTTATATTAAGATTTAAGACTCTAGTTGGTATTGGTATGGTGAGTAGCCTTCAGTAATAGTAATAAATCACACAGCAATAGTACATTCATGTAGTTGTAAAAAGGCATGATAATATATTAAGTAATCCAATGTATCCAGAATACGTTACTCGCTTTGAGTAACGTAACGGAATATGTTACAAAATACATTTTGGGGCATGTACTCTGTAATCTGTAGTGGAATACATTTTAAAAGTAACCTTCCCAACACTGGTCTTCAGTGTTACCTGATGGTTTGAACACTTAAAAGTAAATGAATCACTGTAAAGTTATTGTTCCTAAACTCAGAGAGAAATTCTTTTTTCTCTTCATGTTTTATACCAACAAACAGCAAACAGCCAATCAGCATCATGAAACAGCCTTCTCTGGAAAGACTCACCTGCTGAGCTCACTTCACACCCTTTCCACCTTCATGTGTGGAAGAAATATTTTGAGAAAAGAAGCTGCTCAGTCTCTTCGTCAGTCCTGGTGTCTGAGCAATCGATCTAAGGACTCCGTCACAAGCTCACAACAACAGATAAAAAAAAACAACCCCAAAGACATCCGACCAGCCTCACCTGTGGAAAGAAACCCAGTCAGTGTCAGAGAAAACACATAGGGGATTATGGACTTAGACATGATCTTGACCATGTCTACATTCCTAAATGCACTGAGTACATACAGCAAGCAGCAGTTCTCCCTAACACAAAGCCTGTCAGAGGTCAGAAGAGAATGGGCAGACAGCTGTGAGCTGACAGGAAGGCAACAGTAGGCAACAGTAAGTAAAATAACCACACACTACAACCAAGGTATGCAGAAGAGCATGCCTGAACACACACTACCTTACAGCAGATGAGCTACAGCAGCAGAAGAGCACACAATAGAAAATTGGAAAACCATTTCCATGTCCTAAACACCAACACCGTAGGGGGAGCAGAAGGGAACATAAGGAGATACGAGGACATCTCTCCTTTACTCTCAAAAACACTTTTTTAATGGCTGTTTCAGATAAACAAGCTAGAGGGCTGAAATTTGATCTGCACATGCTCAGTAGGATTCTCTCTGTGTGGAAAAAGAGCAGGATCATCTCAGCGTAGCAGAAGTTTTTTTAAAAACTAAATTAAAAAACTTTTTCATTATTTATAGATGGGTAGGTGTGTGTGTGTGTACACATATATTGCCTTTGCTCAATAGAACAGCGGTCCCCAACCTTTTTTGCGCCACGGGCTGGTTTATGCCCGACAATATTTGCATGGACCGGCCTTTAAGGTGTCGCGGATAAATACAACAAAATAAAACTAGTACTGGTACTGAAAAAAAGAAAATTTATTCATAACACACGTGAAAAGACCAAGGAAAACTGAGTAAACGATAAAAACGATAACAAAATAACGCTGAAAACCGATAAAAACCCTGAAAACTATACATTTCACACCTAAGCCTAAACTCTCGCGGCCCAGTGCCAAACAACTCACGGACCGGTACCGGTCCGAGGGCCGTGGGTTGGGGACCGCTGCAATAGAATACAAGATGTATTCATGGCTGCAGGATCATAAGCACTCTGAGTTTGCTGACAATCAGAAAATCAGCACAATTACATTTTCAAAGGGGTTATTAAACGTGTTGTTCTAAAAGCAGCTCATCTATAAAATCTGTTATCTGTGTTCTGTCAGAGCTGATTTACAGCAGCCTGGTGTCTTAAAAGGTAGAACAGCTCTCTGATATGACAGCTGATATCCAAAACATTTTTAAACATATCGTTAGCTTCATAGCATAAGTGCCTAAGTCATTGACTTAGTCAAATGACTTAGGCAATTATGCTATGAAGCTAACGATATACCAAAAAAGCTAAACAAAAGTCACATGTACAGCAGTAATCTGATTTATTAGATGAACAGTAATATGACTAAATTTTTTCAGGGTTACACTTTGTGTTGTTAGTGCATAGGCTATATCAGACTGGTAGCTGCACATATGTCTTACATCTAAATGTAAATGCTGGATTTCAAGCATTGTGAATTATGAAGAAAAACATAGAAATGCTCCGGCCTCGACCTACTTCTACTTCAACAATCAAAACAACTTTATTGTCCACGTTTGGAGGACAAAATGCCTCACAGCACATCTCACGTGACCAAACAGACCCTGAGATGCAGCTACTTAAACATTTGTCGATAAAATATTAAACATAAAAACGTTCATAATAATGTTATGTTAGTTTAAGAAATAAAATGCTGGATTTATTCGGCACTGCGTGGACTTCGGGTCCACACTGACGTCACATAAATGACTGCAGTCACTGACGCCGCGGCGGACACACACCGACCTGTTTGATCTTAACAGATACTCAAAGGGTCTCGATTTCTGACGTTTCTATGGTAACACGGTTACAGCAGTAATCTGACAGCACGAGCAGAACCTCGGAGACAAACACCGGCACGCGGACCTCACTCACCTACACAGATAGGAAAGACGCTCCGCGGAACAGCAGCCGGACAAAGTGAAAGTAAACCGAGCAGGAAGTAGAGGGAGAAGAGGGAGGGTTCCCTTCTACAACGTCACATTTAAACAGCTGGAGACAGCACGGTCTGCTACAGTATTCACTGTGACTCGGTTTAATCTGAAACCTAACAGATCAAACATGGAGTCATTCTCCTCACCGATTGTTACAGGAAAAATGATTCTATGTTTCTTTACCTTCTTTTAAATGTACAAAGATGCCTTTTGTCTGCCCTTTGCCTATGGTTAGATTAGTTTAGAATTATCTTTTTAGACTTTCTCAGCAAAGACATACTGTTTTGGGACATATTGTTTTAGATTGTTTTATCTCTCACAGCCTTCTCCCAGCTCTCTGCTGACGAGACTAGCGCCACATATGGAGTTGTTTATTTTATTTGTTTTGTATTTTCTTATCCTGTTCTCACTGTCTTTCCTATAAAAATTACCAAGCCACTGTGCATGGTGTGAGTTGTTCTTAGCAGCTCACCCGTGTACACGTTTGATAAAGAAAGTAACTTTGTCTCATTGTGTCTTTATTTCTCCTGGGTCTTTTACAGAGTTTTCCCCCAACATTTCTTGGTCCTTCGGAGCCGGAGCGCCTCCATCGTGTCCCATCTCCGTGACCAGTCCACGTTGCTCGCCTGTCGACAGCTCACATACTAGGTGTGTGATAAAAGACCAAGAGCGTTAAATTCGAGTCTTGGCCAATGGAATTTAAAATAGCGAAAGTAGCTCGTCGTGACTGGAAGCTCCCCACTTCTGTGGGTTTAAAGTAGCTCGTCGGCTGGTAGCTTGGAGCTCGTCGACTGGAAGCTCCCCACTCTTGTGGGTTAGGTTTGGAGCTCTGGGTAGCTCCCCCAGCTGGGTCAAGGGAATAAGTAGCTCGTCTACAGAAAGACTGGCAGCTCCCCTTATTATAAGGGTTCCGATCGCGCGAATAAGTGTGAATGTGAATGTATGTGTGTATTGTTGTAACTAACGGAGCAAGCTGATTTTTCACGGTCCAATAAGAGACTGAGCTGCTCCTACTGTGTTTTTCTTTTACTGCTATTCACTGACATGCTGGTGAGTTGAGAGAACGGTCGAGTTCCGTCTCGTAAAGTTCACACCGCTTTTGGAAATAGTCCGAAAGTAGAAGGGCGTGTGAGCAACCACTCTCGTCTCTAATACCAGCGAAGGTGATAGCAGCTGTATTGTGTATATATTACTTAATAAACAAAAATAAGTAAATACATAAATAAGATGGGTAATCAAGCAAGTGAAATTAAAACTCACTCCTGCTGACGAGCAGTGGTGAGAAAAGAAAAGTCCAGACGCCGGACAAAAACAGTGTCTGTAAACTGAGAGATTTAAGAAAACAAAATCTAAACAGTCAGAAGAACAGAACTCAACTGCCAGTTTAGTAAAACCAGAAGACGAGACACTGTGCAGTCCCCACAATCCTTTTAGTAAACCATCACTCACTCCTGCAGCCGCATCTGCAGCAACACCCATATCAGGAAGAACATAATAATCCCTTATTAAGTGAAAACTAGAGATCACAGTAGTTTTGTAGTAGTTTAAAAGGGTTGAAAACAGACCCCACTGAGTAGATATAAATATAAAAAGTACGAAATAAAGATGAACAAAGGGAAAGTTACAGTAGAAATTATCTTTAGAGTATTTGAAATTAATAATAGCAAGGATAACAACCTGTAAAGTGATATTAACAATGAAACACAGTTGGCATGATGACCATGCCCACAATGTATAAAATGTATATAAAGCAAATAATTCACACGAAAACATTTTAATAAAATAAATAAAGTATATTAAGGCTGTGTCATTGTTCAGCCAAGGACAGTGTGTGAAAAGGTAACTGTCTCCACCTTGGGAAAAGGATGATTCTGCAGGTCATCTGAAGCCCTTGATGGATACAAAATGAAATATAAATAATATATTATAATAGAACTGCCTGGTCCGCCATGCAACAGAGAGAACAAATGTGACCGCAGATTGGATGAATTCAAAATTATCTGTTTGCTGAATAAGATGATCCTAACTAACAAATTGGCTCAGTAGTAGTATAATGGTACACACTGATAAAATATTATAATATGCTATTGCTGTTATATAAGACAAAGAGGATAATATTAACAATGACATAATATTAATATGAAGAGGCACCTTAATCGGTTATGATGTGAGGTGAATAATTGTTAAGCAGTAGTCTGCATCAAGCTTAAGGTTTGCTGAAACTCAGTGTAATGACATGTGAGATGAAGACAATACAGAGAATAACTAAACTATTGAAGTGCATAGAGGCACTTGACCAGCTTGAAACCTATCATCCTAGAATGACACATTGCTGAGATATAGAGCACACCTATAATAACAACCAATAAGCAAAACCCTGTAGACAACAGCTACAACTACAGGATTGAGAAGCTGAATTAAATATGTAGACACTGCTAAGTTGATGAGCATGTTCCACATTTTCTTTTCTTTTTATTTATTTGTTTCTTTTAGAGCAGAAGCTGCTGTAACACACCCAAAGAAAGACTCTAGGTCTGACCAACCGTCTCAGTCGTGGGCAAAAAGATGTCAGTCAATAAAATTCTAAAAGATAATTTATTGACAAAAAATATATCAAGAGATAAAAGATAAAACAGTCCAGTGTCCCACTTAAGAATTGTGTAAAAACACACAGTCCCAAGGCCAGAGCCAGCTATGCCACACAGCCAAGTTGCACTCCACATGTTGCCTTTAACAGGGTTAGAAGTTGTCCTTGGAGACCCACCACCCTGCAAGCATATAGTCAGTGGTCACTCAAGCCTCTGCAACTCTGCTGCCTTTAGGCTGTGGCATATAATAGGCCCTGGACTGCACAGAGAGACAAAACAACACACTTAATATAAAATTCATAGCGCAAAACCAATCCATCCCAATCATATCTGATTTCATCACATTACATACCTGCACAGAGAGACAAAACAAAACAGCAGTGTTTGTAGTGTGGGCTATAAGTAGACCAGTGTATCAGTGCAATCAAGTACACCTGCCTCTAATTAGTCCAACCTCATTCCAGCCATTGGCTCACCAAAAATGTGACACACACAAAACCACTCCCAACCCAGTGAAACTTCACACAATAATATGGAGCTGAATTAACACAGGCACATTAGTCTAGTATGTTACAGGCTGCATGCTATTAAAAGCCAACATATGCAGACTTCTGCCTTGTTCGGGTGGCAGCATTTTTTTTTTTTTTTCTTTTTCTTTTGTGTCCTGACACGTTTATGTTTTTTGGTTTTGTTTGATTATTTTGTTGGTTTTGGAAACGAATTTAAACGAACTTGTGACCATACTTGAGAATCACAGTGACACATAGTGATTAGGCATATGATTGAAAAATGCCTAGGTTTAGAGCTGTGAGCTATGGGCTGTGAGCAATGCAAAGTTAAATATATATATTTGTATAAATGGGAAACAACCCTAACTTGAAAGTTTGAAATGTGTGAGATCCATGCATTGTTTGAAGAACTAGAAATTATCTAAAACTGCCTTAAGTGAAAATGTAGAGTTGCATCTATTCTCCCAAACAAAAAAAACAAAAAACAAAAAAAGGGAGAAGCATTCTGTAACTTAAAAATAAGGCTGACTGTTGACAACAGACTAAAACACTAATTCGCAGGTGGCTATCAGGAACAGAGAGGCGAGCAAAGTCACAAACACCAAGGCCGCAGACAGCCACGCAGAAACAGCAGATAACATAGAGACAACGCCTGCTAGAACCGTGGAGAGGAAGGTCACTTCACACGAGATTGTTGCGCATGTGAAATACACAAAGATAAACAAATAACCATTTATACAGACAGCCAGTATGTTTTCTCTGCTGTGCATCATTTTGCAAAAAATCTGGAAAACCAGAGGAATGATTACACCAATTGGCAAACCAGCATGCCAACCTCTTACAACGCCTACTGACTCTTTCATTACTACAGGCAACAATTTTGCTGACAGAGCAGCAAAATAGGCGGCACAACAGGCAAACATCACATTGATGGCAGTAAACACACATCAGATTCCATTGGATGTGTTGAAAAATGAACAAAAAGCAGCAAGCACAGCAGAGCAGGCAAAATGGCTAAAACACGGTGCAGTTCTGACAAACGACTTAATGATGTGTTATGGCAAGCCAGTGTTGCCAAAATTCCTCCACAAAATGGCGGCATTAGTGACTCATGGCTGTACGCATTTGTCAACGGGGGGACTGACCAGTATTGTCAACTCTCATTTCTACACTGTAAATTCTACACTGTAAATTTTGATACCTCAGCAAAACAATTTGTCAGAACGTGCATGACGTGTCAAAAATATAATGCTCAGGGTAACCTGCGCCCCCAAAGAGGCCGTTTTCCAACTCCGCCTCATCCTTTTCACACAATTCATATGGATTTTATTGAACTAAGCGAATGTCAAGGGTCAAAATACGCCCTAGTGGTTATAGACGTGTTCTCAAAGTGGCCGGAAATCTATCCAGTGAAAAAGGCAGATGCAATTTCAGTAGCAAAGTGCCTGTGCAATCACTTCATACCTACATATGGCATCCCAGCTTTGATACGATCAGACAACGGCACTCATTTTGTAAATGATGTCATCACTAAAGTCTCTGAAGCACTCGGTTTCAGCATAAAACACCACTGTGCTTATCACCCTCAGAGCGCAGGCCTTGTAGAGAGAACTAACGGCACTATAAAACAAAGGCTCAGGAAATGCATGGCAGAAACAGGAAGGCCGTGGCCTGAATGTTTGGGTTTAGTGAAGATGTGGATGCGCTTAACACAAGGCTCCCATAAACTAACTCCATTTGAAATCATTCATGGCAGGCCGTTTCCACTGCCTATTACCAGTCAACCAATAGACAAAGCAATCAGAGAAAACACATTAGCAGAATGGATGTCTAAGCTGTTAGAAAACAAAGAGATCGTTGTACATAATCAACAACCTGATGATGTT